TACGGGCTATCTCTATTCCCAAGAGAAGGATTTAGCCACTCCCTCAAAGGCTAGCTTGGAGGTTGGTATCATCATCTTCATCCTTACTTTCTTCTTCAAAAACCCTAGTTCTAGAGAGAAAACTATGTATAAAAAAATATCTACTCTCCAAAAATTACAAGATAAAATGATAGTATGTTTAATTAATTCATTACATTCCACTTTTGAGTAGCCTCCAACTTAGAATAACAGTTTCTGATTGGAGGAAATTCGTAGCTATGTAGGGTAGCTAGAAATCGGCCCACTTGGGAATTAGACAGCTTACTGTCAGCAGGCATTTACACTTAGCTTCGATCGATCGAAGTTGACGTGGCATCAAAAATATCTTCTGGCCTTATCCACTTTGCTGAGCTGGCACCGCCTTCATTTCAATCGATTGTAGACCACTTCGATCAATCGGGATTTCCCTTCGATCGATCGAAGTTTCCCTGGTGCATTTTTCTTAGCTTCTTTCCAACTTTGCTTCTTAGCTACAAAACTGTGCTAAATGGCTCTTGTTAGCCTGTTTGAACATTATTCATCTGAAACAGGTAATTACACAAATAAGTATCTAAGACATGAAAGTAAGATAGATAAATGGACTAAAATACCCTACCTTAGGTACTAAAATGCGTCACATTTGAGCACTCATCATTTCTCCCCCATCCAATTAAAAATTCTTTGCTCTGCCTCTATTTGTATACATATGGTGTTGGTGGCCACAATGGTGGAGTTTGTTGTTGTTGTTGTTTTCTTCTTCTTCTTCCTTTTATTTTTTATTATTATTATTTTTTTGCTAAGGGTTATTTTGGTTAAATAAAAGGACTTATAAGGTTAATATTGTACTTTAATGATTTAAATGGGTCAATTCAGATTTCAAAGGGCAATTATGTACTCTTATCATGATTAGGGGTGTTTTTGTTCAAGTTTGCAAACTTAGGGAGGCAATTGGATCACACTCTCCCTAAGTTGTATCTACTTGTCTTTATTGCAAGCCTGGGGTTGAGTACAAATTCTACTATATATATAATATATATGTGTGTATATATGTATATATATAGGGTCAAGTGTAGAAAGTACCTTGTAGTATGTTTATAGTGCGTATTACACCTCTCATGTGCAAAAAAACACTCCTAAAGTTTCAATTTATGTAAATAAGTCCCTCTAAACACATTTAAGGTAAAATTTGCCTAAATTGCCATTATATGCACATTTTACATATTATTTAAAAATACATATTTTGTAAAATGATGAAAATGGATACAGAGCGGAATGACGATGTTTAACACATGAGGGGTGCGATATGCACTCTAAGTATACTATATGGGTGTTTTCTGCACTTTATCCTAAAAACTATTGTTGTTTTGAATTTGAACACCCATTTTTTTGCTATGTAAAGAATTATATATGTGTGTGTGTGTGTGTGTGTATAAATTTATTGTAAATTGTAAAGTTTAAAAAAATAAATGTATATTTTATATATATTACAAATAAGTATCTTTAATTTAATTTTTAAATTATATATTTAACAAAAAATGATAACTATATTCAATTTTAATTGACACTAATTTTTTCTTTTTTATAATTATAAAAATAACTGAGGTTTTCATTTCATGTGATATACTCTCCATTAATTTGACACATGAGAACAAATATTTATTTTTGAGATATTTTTTATCTCTATTTGACCCGTAAAAGAAATACATATATTAGAACTTTCTAACTTATGAGTGGCAATAAGTCCTCGGAAATGTTTAACTCTCAACTCAAAGATAGATAATACATTATTAGAGAAAATAAATAGAGAAATTATTTATTATTCTTTTGAAAAGGTGAGAGAAAATCGTTAAAAGTGGGTGCACATGACATCCTTAAACTGTGAGATTATTAGCGTACACACCCTTTTTGACATTTTCGGAAGAGTAAAAGAAAAAAAAATGGGCATTACAACATTACTTTATGTCAGATTTCTATTTGAGAAGTGTTTTTGCGCAATGTTAGAAGAATAAGAAGGTTATTAACACATTTTTTCAAATATACATTAGAGGTGTTTTCAGCACTTGACCCATATATATATATATATTACCGAAAGAAAAATGATAAAAGTCTTGATTGATTTTAATTAAAATCATTGACATAAAGGCTCCGTTTGTGGCTCCGTTTGTTTGGACGTAAAATATTTTTAAGAAAATATTTTTTATTTTCTGGTGTTTGGTTGTCATAAAATATTTACGAAGAAAAAATATATTAAAATTTAATAAAAATAATTTATCCATAAATTTTCAGCAAGTTATTTTACATGCCCCGCCCGATGGACTCGACCTCAACCTCGACATAGACATTCGCCAAACACTGACAAAGTAAAAATAAAAAAATATTTTACATGAAAAGGAAAAATATTTTTTAAAAAAGAATATTTTACGTCGAAACAAACGGAGTCAAGACACAAAGAAGAGAGAAAGTGTATTCTCATTCAATATTTGACCAAAGAGTCCTTGGTAGATATTATTTAATGGAATCCCACGAAACAAATTGTTGTTTGTAGCATTACTTTTACAGAAACATGCTTTAATGTTCCTAAAAAACTCTTTGCTGTTGCTTCTTTGTCTATTACTTTCTTCCATAATTTTTTTAGCAAATTGAATGGAACTTTTAATATTTACAACTGTTCCTAGATGAATGTAATGTCCTCAAATTTAATTTTTGGGTACAAAAGAAACTAATAAATTGTGCTTAATTCTTCTTTTTTTTTATTTTTATTTTTTATCATCGCAATGGTTAGTAGTTAGTTGAGGGAGGAAAGAATCGAACTTAGATCGGAAGGACAGAGGATACTTTTGACCTGACATTTTTACCACTCGAACACTAAGTCACACAATCTTTCTCAATAAGTGTCGCTTTCGCTCTCACACTCCATACGCGCTGTAATTCAAATTCTCACTACTTATGACTTAATTCTCTTGCTCTCGAATTCGTTCTCGCTCCCGCTTTATGTGACTTAGCTTGAACAACACTGTAACACCTCTTTAATAATTATTTGAAGATGCTTCCAATGTTGGTATTCACTTGGATGAAGAAAACTCCAAAAAAAAATAATCAATACAGCCAATTGAAAATTGTGTACAATGAGTGAAAATTAAAATGTGAACAAACCAAATTTAAAAGTGATTTAGCTAACAGACCCACCAAGCTTAAAAGAGAGTTGAATCAAATCTTTGTCCTGCTCTTAGCCAGCTGAGGCCTGAGGGTCTCCATAACTAATTGAGAGACTAGGCTCCATAACTCATTATTTGATTTTTCTAACTTATAACGATAACAATCATTTATTAGGTAGGTAACTTATGAATTTAAATAGAATTGAACAACCAACCACATTCAAGACAAAATAGAATATTGTTGCAAATGATAAAAGATGTGATCCACTAACACAAAAAAAAAAATGCAGTTTCATTTTACCATATATTAAATGTGTAATATTGCAATTCTTGATGAAGATAAAATTATTAATATTACCATATATTAATAGAATAAATATCAAAACCGATGTTTTGATTTTTTATCTTTGGCCCCAAAATATAAGGCATCAGTCTCTTAAGCCTAAAAAATGAGAAAACCAAGTTTGTCTCTTATGGTCATTAACAAGCTATGCTTTAGGTTGCAATTGACCCTGAGACAAAAGTGAATTGATATTCTCAAGCTTAAATCACCATTTAAAAAAAAATATATACACACATATATATATACACACACAAATATATCTCATATATATTGCAGAGAAGTGCATACACAACAGCCTACTATAATCCAAGGTAGACTTGAAACCTCAACATGTTATTTAATTTTGATACAGTGGTTAACAAATTCTTTTTTTTTTTTTTTCTCTTTTTGAAGATTTGAGAATAATGAGAAAGATGCTTTAAATTTCTTGAAATATTAATTTTGAGAATAGCAAGAAACATACTTTAATTTTTCTGAAAATTCTTTGCTTTAGAACTAAAAGGGTTTAAAGTAAGTCGAAATAAAATCGAGTGTAACTTTAGTAAATTTAGAAAAATAAATGAAGATGTAATGATAATTGAGAATCAAGAGGAATAAAAGAAATGAATATTTTTGTATTTAGGCTCAATTATTCGTGATAAGAGAGAAATTAGAGTTGACGTAAATCATAGAATAAAGGCAAAATTGGTTAAATGGATGAGCGCATCCAATATATTGTGTGATAGGTAGGCGTATTCTTTTATGGTGGTGAGTTTTATCGAACAATTACTAGATCAACCATACTTTATGGTGCCGAATGTTGGGCATGCGGAAACAACATTTACATAAAGTGAGTGTGGCTAAAATGTGAATGTTGAGATTGATGTGTGCTAAAACTAGAAAGAATAGAATTACAAATGATCACATTCAGGAGATGATTGTAGTAAAACGAATTAGTTAAGATGATTTGGGCATGTTCAAAGAAGACCTAAAGTGAGCTGGTTAGAAAAAGTTATACATTTACAAAGACGGTAATATTTAGGAAAGAGGAAGGCCCAAGTAAATTGGATAGAGCTAGTAAAGAAAGTTATAATACCACGTGGATTTACTAAAATTATGGCCTTAAATTAATCAAAATAGAAACATAGAATTCATGTAACCAATTGGAAAGAGGCTTAGCTGCTGTTGTTGTTCGTCTTTGCTGTTGTTTCTTTTGTCTTCTATTTTCATCCATAAATGTAAAGCTAACTGTCTTGGCAAATTGAATGGATCTTTTAATGTCCTCAAATTTAACTTGTGGTTGCAGAAGGAACTGAAAAATGGTTATTCAATTGGGTGAAGAAAATTTCAAACACCATCAATTCACCCAAATTGAAAATTTTGTACAATGAACCAACCAAATTTAAGAAGTGATTTAGCTCAAACACCCACCAGCTTTAAAGAGAGTTGAATCAAACCTCTCCGTAGTTCATTAAGTTGAGAAACTAGGGTCCATAACTCATAAATTTAAAATTTCTAACTGCTAACAACAATAAGAATTTATTATGGTGGGTAAATTCTGATTTTACATAGAATTGATGCTCACTGATTGTTCTACAATGTCCTCACTCTATCATCTATTCAACAACAACAATCAAGACACAATACAATATTTTTGCCAATGATTATAGATGCAATCCCCAACTAAAAAAAAAAAAAAAAAAACCTGCAGTTTATGTTTCACAAATTGTCATCTCACAGAAGGCTACTGACTAAATGGGAGAGAACAATTTACTTGTTCTCCATCTCAATTTCCTGTTTTGCTCTGTATCGATACCTACGCGCTGAATACAGAAAAGCACAGAAGTTGATTACACTCAAAACTGTAAGAAGCCAATAGAAGTAATCAAACCTTCCGGTGTTGATGTTTTGGGAAAGCCATGGTTGCCTTTCCTTTTCGTTCCCGGTTACAGATTTGATAATGCTGTTCAACAAAGTGGCTCCAAAGCAACCTAAACCACCAGCAACGGCAGAATAAGCTGAGCCTATACTTCTCATGGCATCAGGAGCCTCCTCGTAGAGGAATTCTAGTAATCCCACAATGCAGAATACTTCAGCAAGCCCAATTAGGACATACTGGATTAACAGCCAGTATGCACTAAGGTCCGGCATTGAAGTCAGAAAACTAGCCTCATATCCATGTTCTATCGCATAATTTCTTCTGTACCTCTCGAACACCCCAGCCCATGCCACAGATAGGATTGAAATCGCCAAACCTATTCCTACCCTTTGAAGTTGAGAGGCTCCATGAGGATGACCTGTGATGCGCCGGGACAAGGGGACAAATATGGAGTAATAGAGGGAAAGTAGAAGAAAGATGCTGAGACCGGGAAAGACAGGCATACATGTAACAGGAAGTTTCAGATTACCCATGTAGGTGTTCAGTGTATATGCTTGTTGTACTGATAGAGTCAAATATTCTGTTAAAACTAGACTCAGCATTATGGTGCAAGTTGGAATAGGGATCAGTTTCCAAAGAATCTTAACTTCTTCTACTTGCGTCACAGTGCAAAGCCGCCAAGGACTTGGATCAGCACCATCTTCCTTCAGTTGCAGAGCTGCCTTGTCCAAAAATCTGAATGGTCCAAAAGGAAAATGATAGAAATTTTAATTTTCTTTTAGCAAACAATTTTCATAGGGTAGACTTTCTTCGCTCACATACTAATGACTTAGTTTCAACAAGGCCATAACCAAATTATACCGATTATACAATATATGCAACTGATTAGAAACAACAATTGGTATGCTGAAAGAAGAGTAAGAGCCTCCTTACCTGAAGTCATTTGTGTGAGCTATCTTGCCACTACCCTTTATAGCAGACCGTTTGCCAGGAACTTCATATAGGCCTATAAACTCACTGCAATCAAAAGAGGCATTTCTCTTGCGAAAGGCAGCGACTAGGACTTGCGCAACACGTGTCAGAGGGCTTCCTCCAGGTAATCTGTGCCTGTATAAAGGAGTACCAAGAAAGAAGACCATGTTCGACATTCCCATAGCTATGGCCAATGAACCAAAGGCAGATCCCCATCCATGTTCCATTTGAATATAGACTACTGCAGTGAAGGCCACAATCGCCCCAATGGTGACAGAAAGATAAAAGAAGTTGAAAAATCTATCCAAATGGGTCTTGTAATCTCTACTTCTTTCATCAAATTGATCAGCACCAAAGGAAGAAACACATGGCCTTATACCCGCCGCTCCAAATCCAGTCACATAAAGAACTGTGTAAAGGTAAAGCATCTGCCATGGTTTTGCAGGTTCACAATTGCCCCAAAGTAGGCTTATCTGACTACACTCTTGGTTTGGCACAAAAATGTTCATCGTTGCGCATAAGGTTATTCCTGTCAAACCCTCCAAAAGAGGTCCAGAAAACAAGAGTGGCTTCATTTCAGTACACTACTGCAATTCTAAACCACGGAAAGAATACAAAGTAAAATTTTGAATTGAACCATATACAGTAACAAAATCAGCTACAACTAGGACCCTCAATCTCTAATGGGTGATCAAACTTAGAACATTAAAAACATTCATCAGTAGTTTATATTCATTGGCTTCAAGAACAGATCTCACCGCAAGATAAATTGTTGTGAAAATTGCAATTGTCCAATATCGACCAAGATATGCATCGGCTAGAAAACCACCAAGCACCGAAGATGCTTGTGATATTCCCAAGAAATTGTTGACTGCATTTGCTGAACTTGAAAAGGGTCGATGCATAACATAGAACATAAATGCAACCATATTAACCGAGAGGCCAAAGTAAGCCATTCTCTCTGCCATTTCATTCCCTAAACAAATAAACTATCAAAGCTCACTATTGGGTACTCACATCACAAAATACTTCAAACAAAGCATGGAAAAAGTAACAAAACCACAAACATAGACTTAAATTTAGCATTTGTAGGGGAAAGTAATCATAAATCCTTCAGAACTACATCTCACCAAAAATGAAGAAGGCGGCAATCCAACCACCCGTCTTGGATAAATCGGCAATGGGCTTCCCGTGAATGTTAACCGGAGTAGTTCCACCACCAGTATAACCACCACCAAAAGCTGTCCGTCTGTCATCGGATTCAATGAAGTACATTCCGAGCTTCTTTCTCCGAAATGAATCAGAATTCTCCCCCAGACTAGCCGAGGTGGCCTCGGGAAGAACTTCAGGTGACTTGATTTCTCTGGTAGCCATTCCTGAATTCCCTGAAACCATAAGCCGCACAATTCAGAAATATTTCTAAGTATCTCTCACAAATATATAACCAAATAAATCACAACATATTCTTGCAGCCTCTGAAACCACAAATATCAAATTGCAATCCGAAATTACATGAAAACGCAATTGTTAATTGAACTTCGATTAGAGAATACTGGTAGTTCTATCAACAATTTATAATCATCAGAAAGAAGATCAGATCTCAGTGAAGTGATGTGTCAGTACACCCAATTGACAGTGAACACACACTGTACACACCTCTAAATCCTTAAACAATGTAAAGGTGACTATAATGATTGTCACCATTTGAATAGACAACAAATTAAAGAAAAATACAAATAAATATAAAAAAAAAAATCATCAATCAGAACAAACGATACCGTTAAGAGTGAAACTGTGGAACACCCAATTAGGAACACAGATATGAAAGACCAAAAACTAACAGAGAAGGTCTAAATATCTACAAAATAGAATGGGGGGTTTATAAAGAAAGATCAACCACACAGTTTGCGAGTCTAAGTACGACTAATAAGGTAGTGAGTAATTGGAACTAGCACTATCATGATGGAGATCAATAAATGGTGATCCAACCAACAAAAGAAAAAACAAGTGGGTAATAAATGGGATGAGAGAGACATTAACAGTGATCGCCATTAATGCCATACCTGTAGTGGAGGTGGGTGAGGATGAAACGCCATTGTTGAGAACCTCCTTGAGTCGTTGAGGTACGACAAAATTCTTATTTGAGTTTAATGGGTGGAGAAAACATTTTTCTCACAAAGGGCTTGATAGGGGAAAAATTGACATTCCAAGGAATAAAGGATGATAACAGATGACAAATTAATGCTACCCAAGCTGGACAAACTTAAACCGACTGATGAAGAAAAATATCAAATATTTACGGGAGTGGGGACATATAATACGACACGTATAGCCGTGCGACACGATGTGCAAGTATCCTAAAATTTGATTTTTAAGTTTTGGATAAATTACACGATTTTTTTTATTGTCTAAATAAAATAAAAATAGTGATATACTTTAGTATTATTTTTAGGGTTAAAATCATAAAACCTACACTATTTTTAAATTCTAATTAAAAAATCCAAATTTGTTTCAAATTTTTTTTACAATTTTAAAATGTGATTACATTGCCCCAATATATGTAACAGACCAGGTTATGAAATAACAAATTTAATCTTATTATTTAATGTTAAATTAAGAATTAAAATTACAAAAATAATCTTTAAATTTACAAAAATTATACCCTTTCTCTAAAACTCTCACCCAATGTGATCACTTTTTAAAGAATTTTTTGAAACATATTGGAGTTTTATGATCAAAATTTAAAAGTAGAGGGAGTTTTATGATTTTAACCCTTATTTTTAACGGATCATTTGATTATAAATTTAGATGAGTGTTTTTATTCTTTTGGAAAACTGGCAAGAATCCTTATTGAATTCTATCTATTAGGGTAACTACAAGAATCGATCTATTTTTGTATCAACACTCCTAAATAAAATTGACATTTCTTTTAGTTTTAAAAATAATACTGACATACCCTGTAATAAAATCTATCAGTCTTGTTGATGAATGTCTGTCTAAAAAATCAAAAAAATTCGATTTTTCCCTTAGAATGCTTCAACAGATATTTCTGTCCATATTTTATATTATATCAAGCATGCATACGGACATGGATAAGAAATATGGTACAATACATCAAGAATAGAGTGAACTATGACACGCACGAATATAGTAATAAAATAATAATATAATTTTTTATTATATATATAAAAGAAATACGTGGTAATATTTTTCTCACTTTCTCATCTAAATTCATAAATGTAACCTATTTAAATTAGACTCAACCACCATACATCTCATATTTCTTTTAAAAAACATAAATGTTCATATGTTCAAATTTTATTAAAATACAAACAAAAAAATGCCTTTATATTCAAAAGTTTTTTTATTTTTTTTTTTTTCAGTAAGTAATTTATATTCCAAAAACAAAAAGTGCAAGTCTTATTTTATTTTTCCCGGAAGGGTAAACAATATGTATATATCCATATGTTGTTTAACGTGGCCAATGCCCTTGGAATAAAAAAAAAAAAAAAAAAAACGTGGCCAATGGAGCCCATTGGAGCTAACATGTGGTAAAACTTACGATTTATAAGAGATTTGTTTGGTCACAAGTCTTATTTTTGTAACTAATTTTATCTCTTCACTCTATCTTTCAATCACTCGTCTCTCTTCCCTTCCTCTCTCATCCGGTCCATCTCTTCATGTTCTCAAGTCCTTCTGATACTCTCCAATGATGCGCAAATGGTCTCAAGCCAAGATTGTCATCTATTATGTATTTATAGTTGCATTATATGATTTGTATCTGTTAAAATTTGGATGCAAAATAACAAATGCAAATACGAAAAGGGAAGAAAGAAAACACTAACATATATATAGTTCGACACTAAAATCTACATCCATGGATAAAATGCCACTAAGGGCTACATTATTATTATTATTATTATTCAGATATGTATTATTCTTGAGTACAAGCAGCCTATATATAGGCATGATAAATATAAGAATATATAGAAGGTATACAATAGTCAAAGGAGACATCATGATTGGTGGAGGATTTTCCTCCACAGTTGTATAAAAATATTTATAATTAGAAGGAAATTGACCGGATCACCATGAATGGTGGAGGATTTTGCTCCACAGTTATATAGAAATATTTATATATTTTAACACTCCCCCTCAAGTTGGAGTATGAATATCATGAATGCTAACTTGCTAAAGAAATGCCTTGAAAGACGATGAAAAGGTGTCCGGAATAACGTTGTAAAGGCTGGAACTAAGCCTAGAAATGGTTGGAACTATGTCGGGAAATGGCCTGAACAAAGCCGGGAAAAAGATGGAACTATGCCGGGAAAAAGACGGAACAACGCCCGAGAAAAGTTGGAACAACACCGGGAAAAGCCGGAACTAATTCGGAAAAGGAATGTGAAGACATAGAGAATATGCTTCATAATAATAATTCCAATACTCCCCCTCAAATTCTTGCTCTGATGCCATGTTAAAATTTGGATGTGAAAATAATAAATGCAAATAGGAAAAAGGAAGAGAGAAAACTCAAACATATACATGGTTCGGCATTAAGACATACATCCATGGACAAAAAGCCCTAAGGGCTACATTATTATTATTCAAATCTGTATATTGTTTGAGTACAAGGAGCCTATATATAGGTATGGTAAATATAAGAATATATGAAAGGTGTACAATAGTCAAAAGAGGCACCATAATTGGTGGAAGATTTTGCTCCACCATTGTATAGAAATATTTATAGTTGGAAGGAAATTAACCAGATTACTATAATTGGTGGAAAATTTGGTCCACAATTATATAGAACACACATCATGAATTATACAATGATTTATACTTAAAGGTTTTGACCTAAGAACAATCTAATAATTTTGATAATTACAAATTAATCACTAATGGTGTTTAGATGCTAATGTTTACATTGAGTGTTGTGCTATATGTGATCACATTTTTAAGATCACCCTCAATGAAGCAAAGATTAACTAAGACATGTTCTAAGCATTTCATTACATATAAAGACATCAATGGTTAAGTAATAGATAAGGAAATGACTTGAAATTACAAAAACGTCAAAGCTAGAAGCATTCAAAGTTAAATCGAACCTCAATAATCAAAAATGCAATTGGGAAAGTGTGACGGCCCAAGTTTTACAACCCGGTGCGTCAGTGATGACCTGAAAGTTGACCCGATAACGGATCCAAAATGCGGAAGCGAAAGATGATCAAGCAAAAGAAAGAAATGTTCTGAGGCATGGACGAACGCTTGTCCAAAGCCAAAGCACCGAGCGTCCGTTCGGCACTCTTCAACACTAAGTGCTCGTTCAGCACTCTTACATGGTCAGTCATTCTAACCTACATGGTCAAGCGTTCTGACCTACATGGTCAAGCGTTCAGACTTACATGGTCAGGCGCTTTGACCTACATGGTCAAGCGCTCTGACCTACATGGTTAAGCATTCGGACTTACATGGTCAGGCGCTCTGACCTACGTGGTTAAGCGTTTTGACCTACATGGTCAGGCGTTCTTATGGAAGGGTTATGACCCAAACTAAACTTTAGCTACTGGAATTGATCTCAAACATGTGTCAGCTAGCTGATGGCTCTTATCAGCTGAACGACGAAATAGAAAGCTCTTAACAGCCGAACGACAAAATAAAAAGCTCTTAATAGTCGAACGACGAAACAGACAACAATAAAACCGCTGTTGCAATACATGGAAAAGGTGTTACGTCCAACCTTAAAACTATACATGCATTTCAATGATCCGAAACAAGTTTAAAATATACTTGTGAACTTTAAAATTAATGCCCTTTGACCTCATGTTATACATACACATAAAATGAATGTCAAAAGATGTGCTTATGCACACATTACATGTTTAAAATCAAATATACATATTTTGACATATAAGGCTATAAGTGGCATTTCAAGCCAACCTTTACAAGAATGGAAACCTTCAAGTTCACAAATCATCTAAGCATAATGAGAATCCTAACTTTGATTCCAGTACCTGAAAAATGTCCCCGATAACTTTGGGGTGAGTAACATAAAACTACTTGTAGGAGATGAGCATGCATAGACCTAACGTTTTACAAAATTATCACATTAATGTAAAACAATTCAAAAGATTATGCCACCTAATCTCTATATCAAAGATGAGACTCAGGGAGCATCTTAAGCTACCTTAAATCATTTCTAGCATAAATCACATCATTCATTCAATTTAAATAACATAGAAGCATGTTATACAAGGCAACAAGATATAGATTCTGAAAGCCATCAACTTAAAATCTAAAATATGAAAACAACAAAAGTGGGTCATGCTACCTAATGTCTATGTTCCAAATGAATCTATAGAATATTCCTAAGCTACATTTGAACATTTTAACATAAATGTACTTAACAACATCAAAGTTTGCAATAATTCATTAAAAATCATAATGCCTAAATGTACTTAACAACATTAAGATTGCAATGATTCATTAAAAATCATAAAAGCATAAATATACTTAACAACATTAAAACTGCGATGATTCATTGAAAATCATAAAGTATAAATGTACTTAACAACATTAAATCGCTAATAACCAAAATCACAAGTCACAATTAAACATTGGTTGTCAACTTGAAATTGAATGCGAGAACAAAAAGTGGAAGATTTGGACATCAAATCTCGGAATAATGTCGAGACCTAAACGGTTATTCCAGGCACTAACCCGCTGGGAATACCACCCTAG